CGATCAATATCATATGGTCAAGTCAATATTACTAACAAAACTGCTAATAAAAAATTAATTTTAGACTAATAATATTAACAAAACACCATAACGGGCCACATAACACATAGGCCATCTCCACTCCGCGACAAGGCGCGCAATCACCACCTAGTTTAATTTGTTTTGTTGAGTTCACAACATATTGCCTTATACAGCCAGTTACAATTATTAACAGTAAGTTAATTTTACAATTACACAAACTGCCGAGTTAATAATTTCCATTATCCTAAATTATTTTAGCCCGACATATTAAATACAATGGACAATAGAGCTAGACCATTCAACCATCTACAAAAATACATAAAGGCAAAATATGAGTTGTAATTCTCCCATTTCAAATTTCGTGATCTGAGAGTGATTCTAGGAAGGTCACTTTTGTCATTGCAGTCAGTTCATGTTTATATATTAAAAATGTTATAATTGGAGTTCGAACCTTAGTCACTTAAATGACAAAACAACATTATAACCAACTAGGCTACATTTTATTTATTGTTCTTTCTTTGATTAAACTCTAGGAATATGTTTAGTGATGATGCTTCTATATTTATATTTTATATTAAGTTATTTATATTTCTACATAATACATAAAGGCAAAACATGTGTTGAATTTTCATGAATTTGAATTTCCGGGCATGTGAGGGTTTCACGAAAGGGTAATTTGGACCATTTACCTGTCATTTTAGGTCATTCGTTTTTTGCTATCAATCCGCAACGTGCCCTTTCAAATCATGCGCTATAACCTGTGGCGTGATCAACAAATATGATAAATATTGGAAAACATTTTCATTGATATGTTGGACTATCGCTATAAAATCATGTGTCGTGCCCTTTCAAATCATGCGCTGTAACCTGTATATCGCTATCAATTCCATATCTTTGCTATTTACACGCATTATAAGTAGTAACAACATATAAAAGATGCATAATAATCTTAACTATTTACACACATTATAAGTGGTTACAACACATACAACATACATAATAATCAAACTCCCCAGCCAACAGGTCGGGCATGGTACTAGGGATTCTCAGATTGGTGAGGATGAAGAGATAGGCTTAGAAGGAATCGTTGGAGAACCCGGGGAAGAAGTCGATCGATTGTTGGTGAAGGACAGATACAGGCTTCGGCTTTGGTTTCACTTCCCTGTCATTCAATCTGGTGGCCCAGTATTCGCTCATTCTTTTGTGGTTTGGAAATCAATCAAACTGTTGGATTGAAAGTCAATTATTTATTTCCTATTACTTTTTTTACGTTCATCTCATATAACATTTTCAACACATTTTTTTTACATTCATCTCATATAATATTATTATTATTATTTTTTGTAAAATTACAAATCAATTCTTTTAATTCATCTTCATAATAAACATTAAATTGCTCTATCGGCGTGGATAGTTTAATTTTAGCTTCTCACATAAACACTTCCTTACAACAATTTTTAGATAAAACTTTCATATATATTAATAACACATTTTTTGGGCTAAAATTTTGTACAAACACGATTTTATTACAAAAGTTATCAAAATAATGAACTATTATCAATTGGGTTTATATTTCAATTTTTATCAAATAATATGATTGTGTGTAGATTACCCGCCCAACGGGACAGGCCCTGTACTAGTTAAAGAAATAGAAAATCATGCTTTTTACATTTTTGTTTCTTTACCATTTACAGTTACGAAGTCACAACACTTTGTTACTTGATTTGCAGAAGCTTATTCTCATTTTCTTTATTGAAGTATGGGAGTCTGCTAAATTTCATACGTCATATATAGATAATTAAAAAGACAAACAAAATAAAAGACACCCAAAAAATACTGAGGACACAAAATTTAAAAAGAAAATGCAAACACTAACAAGTTGAAAGTCAAATAATCATCCGTCACGAAGTGCGGGCTAAAAATCTAGTATATTTTAACTTTCAAACTAGTAAAATTATAATTATGAACACTGTCAAAGATAAACATGTGAGATTTATATCTATCAAGATTCAAGATAAACATTTTGTTCCTATTCTTAATTATTTTCAACAATGTCATGCACCACTCCCTCTATAAGTTTTGTGTTTCCATTTTCAAGAAATGTGAAAATCATAACATTTTTTTTTCATTTGAAAGAGAATGAGTACATAAAAATTTATAAGAAGTCCTTAAAATTCAAATGCTCGATTTATGAATGTACGTGAATGTGTGAAAAGTGTAGGTAAAGCTATTCTCAAAATCCTGTATATCCAAAAATAATTCCTGTTTTGAAAATTACTTCCTAGTAAAAGTTGTAGTCCTTAGAAAATTATGCGAAATGAAAAAAAAAATTCATGACGTTCGGAATGTGAAGCATAAAATTATGGTCGTTCAAAGTTTAGCGAAATCGAAAAAACTCGTTCGGGGTAGCAAACGACATTTTTTCGGGACGAAGGCGGGACCAAACCGCTTGTGGCTTGCAAGATCTTGACCGCTCCCTCCCAATGCGGTTTGCATGGGAACAGTTGCTTCCCGGCGCGTTTTATCAGACCGCTCCCTCCCAATTCGGTTTTCATCAAAAACCGCACCCTCCCAAAGTGGTTTTCGGAAAAGGTGGTGTTTTTGGAATTTTTCGAGAATAGGTGGTATTTTTAGAATTTTTTTTCTTTTTAGTGTTATTTCTGGGAAAAATCCCTCACATTTTACCAATTATGGATTTCAAAAAGAAATGAGAGCAGAAAATGAAAAAAACAAGGTCAAAGTCAAAACCACTTGCCTCAACTAGTTGAACAACCACCACACCAACATCCAGGTTTCCCATAAAAAAAAACCACACCAACAGCTAAAAAAATATCTTTTTCCTCATTACTAGAAAAGACTAAAGATGTAACACCCTATCCCGGTCGAGCACTACTTTTACTCAAATGTCCTTGCTAAACCGTTAACATAAATAAGAATCGAAAGAACTTGGAAAAAAAACGGTGAACTTTTCTAGATATCTTTTATAAATACTTAGCATTAAATAATTCAAAGAGAAGCGGAAACGTAACATATTAAACAACACTTAGAACATGAACAAACTTGAAATACTTGTCTTAATAAATATCTTTCGTAAAATTTCATCAAGTCTCTCGTCCTACTAAAGTACTAAAGTTAACGTTTTCCTGTTAGAGTCCTCTGGAGCAATGGAATCTTGTCACAAATTGCTGAACTTCTAAGCATAATCTGGAGCTTTTACATTCCTAAATACAGGCGATGGGGTCAGTCCTAATCCTATTTTCGTTAGCATACACAAACAGACAGTCATGCACATGCAATGCTTTAGGTATATTGTTGTGTACATTATTAGGAATCCTTGAACTTATGATTCTTGTTTACTTTATAAGTGTCTTACATATTTTATCTTAAAATGGGGCCCCGTCCTCCAGTTAGCTAGCGCAACCGTCCGGTAAAACTTGTCATAACATATCATAACATAACTACCCTCACAATGGGGAGCATGAACTTGTAAATTGTGCCTATTTGAGGCAAAACACCCACACAATGGGGATACTGCGCCTATCTAAGGCGAAAACACCCACACAATGGAGATCCTGTATCGCGTGCATAGCTAGCTAAGCGAGGATTAAACGTGTTCTTACTTATTCGTACTAATTAACTTGGTTCTTACACTTGCTTATATTAATCTCTCACTCTTGGGGAGCTGAAATTAACTCATACTGGCTTGCATACTTGAAAAGTTTGGTGATCTCCCACACAATGGGAAGAGCCAACTTATTATCTTGCATGCGCCACATCTTCTTTCTTCCCCCTATTCTCTCTCCCAAACTATAGTATGATAAAGCTTACTACTTTTGGCGTGGTACACTGGTGCTAGGCGGCGGTCAATAAACTTGGAACAGATAAACACATCCATCCTCTCCGTCGCGGATTGGTGTTCCATCAAGGTTCAGATAAACACCAACGACTATGGTGGAGCTTCTTCCAGGTTCTTCTCTCTTTCTATAGTTCCCGTCTTTCTTTCAATTTCTGAAGTTTGATCGCCGTCGGAGATGAATTTATCGAGTTACAATTAAATTCCATCAATCCTGTAATATTTCTGGACAGAGTGGTTTGGGCAATCAGGTGATGATCGCCTACCTAATATATTTTTGTCTTTTAGTCAGAGCTACATGTCCTGTTATCTATTAAAATTTATTTAGATACAATGCTTGTCGTTGCTTTGAGCGTTTCCAATTCAAATTGAATTGGCCGAGGATCCCAGTTTTCGATCATCGATGCTCTACTTTCCATCTCCGATCAAGGTTCCGATGGAGACGCCTCTCTGACCGACATTTATGATGGGTTCCATGGTTACGGTAATTTTGAAATAATTTAACCTTTTGTCTGATTATTGGCATGACATTCAATTGCATTTCCGTTCCTCCACTATGAGTCAAATCTGAGGTGTTATTCCTCAATTACTCTCTCTAATCGATAGACACTGAAACCACTTACATGGCTCATTTTCCGTTTCATCTTTTGTTGCCCTTTTTAATTCGCTAATTGTGATTAGAATTTTAAGTAACCTCATTTTAATGACTTTTGTTTCCCTATTTTATGGGCTTATGGGTTCCTCATCTATCTTCTTCAATTCCGTTGATTTAGCTTATGACTTTGCTTTCATTGTCTACTTCCCATTGATTCCAATTATTCTAAAATTGCTCCTTTATTGCCTTGGTAGGTGGTAATTATGCTTAATGCATATTTTCCTATCTAGTTTTGCATAAATTTTTACCGAATTAGGAAAGTAATGGGGGACCCTTTCTAAATTATTTTCTTTGGTTCTCTTATTATTATTGTTAATAATGTTTGGCACTAGGTAGAAAGCATTGCACTGTCTCAGCTAGAGTTAGCCTTTTGACTTTATTGGGGGGTTTCACTACGATGTCTATAAGGGTTCCTGGGTAGTTTTATTTGTATAATTATTTTCTTCTCTTGATATCACTTGGAAATAAAAAAGGTAGAAAGCATTGCACATAATATCACATTTCAATTTGGTAAACCAATGACATTCGCGGCATAATAGCGAAGATGGTCTGTGTAAGTTCGTTCTGTACAGTATACACAGTTGCAGCTGCTCTAGTATCGGTTCAATGCTGATTTCCAGATTTTGCATTCACAAGCAATGACTACATGACCTTTCTTACGAGGAAAGAATGCAACTAAGAATTCCAATCATCATACAGTTACGATGCCAAAAGATCACCGTAGATCGATGACATCAAACTTAAGGGTAGGGTTCATATAAACATCTGTACATGCTTTGTAGATTGGTCCGCCGTCGGAAGGAGGATCGTGCGCATGAAATCCCCTTTGCTGACACTGCCTTATCACTGACATGCCTCCTGGTGTTGTCAGCCGAAAGATCCCATGTTTCCTGAAGAAAGAAACGACAAGACTAACAGTTAGTTTGGCATTCGATTGCAGAAAGCAACAGGGGGTGCCTCCACCTGAATTGAGGATATACTTGCCTAGAAGAATCTCGTGGTGCCATGACAATAGCTACAGATTCTGGCAACATGATCTGGCAACATGTACAAATATGAGTTAGAAAATCAGGCAATCTTCGTAATAAGGATTCTTATTTTCAGGCGTCAGAACTCAGAAGTATAAGGGGGGAACTTACCTGATATGAGTAATGAGTGTGAACATCAATGGATGACATGAAACAAGATTGTGTAGGATGTGTCTGGCATTCGAACATGAAAGAAGAACCAGTCAACATATGTGTTATGCAAGTACTAGACTAGGTACAATAATACACCTCGACAAGGACAAAATGGAGAACTCATTCGCATATGTAGCTTTGTTATAGTCTATAAGTTCTAGGATTAGTAGTAGCATGTTAGTCATTATTATAGTCACATTGGATGAACTTATTCACATATGTCTCTAACTAAAGGAATGAACCAAACACTGAGCATCAAGCAGGCAAACATAGCATAGAATGAGGTATTTGAACTGGCAAATAATTTGACAAATTAGAAATTAGAAATTAGAAATTACACTTTCTAGCAACCTGAAGACAAAAAACAGATTATTCAGACAAGCCACTCACATGAATCCACCCAAGGGGAAAAAGGGACCTCTTATCCTGCACTTCAAAAATTTCCTCTTCATTTGTAGCCTGACACTGGTAAAAGACACATGTATAAGGTATAAAAAAACAAGATAACCGAAATCAAACTCACCACCATGCAGAAAAGAATTTCCTTACAGAGTTTGTTGTTGATTCCTGCTTCGGAATAATGAGGGCGGTAATATAAAATTTCCTGTTTTTCTGGATAACAATTAACGAGGCCGTTAGAATTAAGATCTCAGAGGCAAAGATCAGAAACAACAATCTTGTTTTGAACAATACTTACAAGAGAGCCAGCAAGGATACCACAAGTTTCCAAATCCTTATCTGTATTAATCTTAGCCAACTTCATGAAACTTTCCATCATGTTGGTTGACTGCAAATGAAATAATTGCAGTTTGGGTTAGAACAAAACAATATCTTCGTTAACAAAAGCCCTGAAGTTTCAATAACATTCACAAATTCTACATGCTAACATAAATCATACCATGATGTGCTGAAACTTACAGAAAACCAAACTAAATTTCAAGATAAGTGGGAAAACATTCACAACATTAAGAATTGACTGGATAACAGAAGAACTAGCATTCTGCATCAGATGAAAGTCAAACATCGGAAATCTCAACGCTCAAATCCAAAAGTTCACAAAGAAGAATGATAAAAGACTCTTGCAAAGCTTACAATGTGCAGTTGAAGAGGAGACTCTGAACGAAGATCAGGTGCGGAAATGTCCATTTTACAATCTGGCTCCATAACTTGTGGAGACGTTACTGGAGTCAAATCTTGTACTTCTGCCAGTACAGATGGGGGAGAAGGTTGTCTAACAATATCTGTATGGGTGGGGATGTCTTGGGTATCGAATGAAATCATTGCAACAGGTTCCACTGTTTTACGGTTCCGACTTTCGTCACTCTGAATAACAGTCAATTCTGCACTTGAATTTAGAGGCTCTGAAGTCCTAGAATCTGATTTATGTGGTAATCCATTTCCTATAGATGGTTCCAAGCTGCCAAGTTGTGAAATGCTAGACTCCTTCTCCACAATAAGTGAACTTGCCACAGGATGCTGCAAGCTGTTCATACACAAATCTTGAAAAATGAGTCCAAGACGAGAGATTTTATGAGGGAAACAAGTACAAATCTGCAAAGACTGTGGAATCAGTCATTCCTATGAGTTAGGTTTACAAAAATGAACTTTTCCATCAATAAAGAAAAGCCATTAAATAATTCAGCAATTTCTCTCATTATTTATACCAATTTCTAAAATGAGTCTTACCGTGGAATTTCAACTGGCGTTAGGTCTATGTTGATTGGATACTGGACCTAAACTGACAGAATAAATAAGTTCCCACATTGTAGGCATAAATAAATTAATGGAATGAAAGAAAAAGGTTGGTGATATCATACTCTTTTATCACTTGAAGATGGCTTCCAGTTTCCATATAATCCGTTTGGACCGAATATAGAATGTCTTGAAAGAGTCTCCTCCTTTGGGCGTGGGAAGCTTAAGGATCTACAAGAAGATGTCCAACACATAAGCTTTCCAATGAAACTGAGATCAAGGCAATAACTAACACGTCGATTTCAGTGAAGTCCTAGCTCATATACTGAAGAGGCAACCATCTACCACAAATTACCCCAAATTTCAGTTATGTTCTCAAAGTTTCATGACAACCTAAGATAAATAACAAACACCATTCCTATATCAATCCACGTGAGCTAGCAGCCCCAAGCAGCTCATTGTTAGAATTCTGTATAGAGAACAGCATGCAAAATACACCTCTGTATGAGATATCAAATGCTTACAAGATACTTGACTAGTACATAACAAGCTGAACTGAGCGTTAGCTAAGTTTTACACATGGAAGAAAACAAATAGTTTGGCAAAACTTCACTAGTGAAAACTAGAAAACACCATTTAAGAAAAATAGAAGATAAGAATATATCAGACCACTCACATTCTACTGAATTGTTCTTCTACTGGCCTGGAAAGGGAAAGTTGCTGCGTTCTAGGACCTGCAAAACTAGATGCCTGAGCTATTGGTCTCACCGCCTGCCATATTCGAAACACAGAGAATAAAGACTCCTCAATGAAGCAAAAGCCAAACAGAAGTTTCACACTAACTGAATAAAAAAATGGTTATAAAAATAGCATGAACAAATAAAATCAAGAAACGAATTACCTTTGTCAAATCATAGCTAGGCATAGTTCCATTTTTAACAGGAGGCCACTGTGATGCATCACTTTGATGGTTATTGGACCAGCCATTTACTTGATATGTGTGGTGATGGTTCAATTCGTTGATCCTCTGTTGCACTGCTGGCTTCAATTTTTCAAGCTCTTCCACGGAAGCCAATAATTTCTGCAATAGTAACATGCAGACCAGAAGTTTTGAAGCTTGCAAACCACCATTCATGAAGATACATTTATGTGTCTGTGTGCAAGGTATTACCTTTTTCAAGTACACCTTTTTATTCTGAGGTGATGAACCATACTCTCGATGACGTGGTATCGTTTCTGAAACCAAGCTGATGAAGAAGAACTTATATGTTACCAATTACATTACACGGAGAAATCCAAACAAAAGGAATTCCTAAAACAAAGATTTTTCTATAAGCACACGCTAGACCAAGCCATTAACACTAAACCAAACTAGCACATAAATACTGAACAGTGGGATAGAAAAATGAAGAAAAGCAGGAAACATGTTCCAATTCCACAGAATCTGCTTGCCCTATTAATGAGCGCACCCATATTGCAGAATAATACGAGATGGAGGTGATCAACATCAGAAGCGTTGTTCTTACCTTGAGAACCTCAAAAGCATGATGTACAGATCTATTACATTCTTCTCGAGTCGAAATATGTCAGCCTAAAATGTCATTGACGAATCATATATCAAATCAGCATAAGGAAGTTTCCAATGAGGCGGGAATGAAAATCACAGAGAAATTCATTATCAAAAGAAAATAACAGAGAAATTAGTTGAAGAGACGACACAAGAAAACGATAAACAGTCAGATCCATGCCAAACACAAAATCTTCCAGCAATCCCATGGTTTAGAAGTGACTTTTGAGCATAACATCATTAAATCACTGGAAGTCTGACATCAGAACCTTCTACGAAAAAGTAGGAAATCAGGACGAGAAGAAAAGATCTGGCAGAAGAAAACCACGCACAAAACATAAGTCTGTGTACTGACCTTTTAAATTCTCTCGAAGAAGAAAAAGTAATCAAGGTGTCTTTAGAGCTTAAAAAATATGATAGGTAGGAGCACAAAAGAAGTAAATGTCCAGGTTCCCAAAGATTCTCGAAGACATCATAGCATGTCATCTGGTTATAACTTAATAAACCCATGCAATTTCACAAAGAGCATCCCGAAGGCCTAATTTTTCCATAAACAAGTCGATGCAGATACAAATTTCAAAGAGTTTGAGAGTAAAAACTACTGACTACCATAGCGAGATCGCATTTTGAGTAACTGACAGTAACTCTTCATTGCTTCACTTAAGGATGACCAAAGTGATGATCCTAGGTGGTATGCATTAATGTTATATTATAAACAACAAAGGATGAAATGACCACTGACGAGGTCATTACATTTGTTTCCCCTAATAGATTCAGAAAGAAGCCTTCTGTTAATTCAATGTCTCACGTGCATTAATTCAAGAGCCATCAGCACCCACCTAGAGACAAAAGATTAAGTTGCTAGACTATGCAAACGCTTGTGAGGCTGGACCAGAATCACTGACATTGAAGATGAGCTAACGATTCCTTGCAAAATTGTTACAAGGAAACCACATGATCCATCTTCTCAACACTTCATCTAGTTACTGAAATGCCTCCCTTAACTCAGAGACTACTGCTAGTTCTGCTGAAATTTCACACCACAAAGAGCTGAACTGAAACAAGCAAATTCATCCAGATCACATAATCCTTGCTAGCCGAGGATATCCTCTACACACTAAATTCAGTTTTCTACCAGACCCACCACATGAGATTACCGCCTGCAGCTAAGTGATCAAACACAGTAATCGATTCTGTTCTACACCATTTCCGCTTATCGGAAAAACCCGAATTACAACGAGAAAACACGAACCCCACACCAGAGACGACCCGGTCAGAAGTAGGGAAAAATGAACCTGGCGAAGAATATTGTCGGCGATTCGGTAATAGAATCTGAGGGAAATCCGATTGTCGACATCCAGTCTTCGAGCACTAGCAGCAATATTGATTCTATCTGAAGAAGAAGCAGGCCTCATTTCTAACTCGCGCGGCTGGAGGTTTTTTCCGGGAACCCAAACCTTGAAACCCGGCTCTATCGCGATCTTCGATCCGCGGCTGTGGCCCAGTGCCGCGGCTGGGATGCAGGTCGCCGATGGCTGCTGCTCCTGGTCGACGTGACGGGGTGGGAAGAGAGCAACGAGAAACGACGAAGGGGTAGTAATTTCGGGTCCCTCTAAGGGCAACTGTGTCAGTTTCGTTTTTATTTTAGGGTTAATACCCTAGTTTGGCCCCAAGTTTAGCGTGAGTTACCGTTCTGGCCCCATTTTTCAAATAAGACATTTGTGGTCTACTTTTGAAATTATTGGACAAATTTGGTCCGACGTTTGGATAAACCGTTAAAATTGATGGTCAAACATTTATTCACTCAATATTTAGGGGTCGTTTGGAAGTTGTGTTTGTTAAATTGTTGTATTGTTATGAATCACTGTGATATAAATGCATGCATTGATACAATAGATGCATTTTGAAATTACATTGTTTGGTTGTTGATATTATAATTTATGAATTGATTGTTATAAAGTTACTTTATAAGAAAATATCATATTTGTCCTCCACTTTTTAATATAAAACAAAAAGAACTATGTACATAATTGGAAAAAGTAAAGGTGCGCAATTATTAAACCAACAATCACAACAATCTCAACTTTTAGTTGAGATTGTACAATCCCTCATTTTTGTTGAGATTGTACAATCCCTCATTTTTTGTTGATTGTTGGTGGGACCCACACAAAACAATACATGCATTCTTTTGCAACTTGACACTTCCAAACGTTGTATTGTGGACAATGCATGTATTTAACAAATACAACACTAACAATCGCAACTTCCAAACGATCCCTTAATGTTGAAGTGGCAACGACGTGGAGTACACATCATTTTCACATAATTTATTTATATTAAAACTTCTAAATAAAACATGAAAATAAAAAATAAAACGATAAATGCAGAGAGATGAAATCCGTAATTCACCTCCATCCCTTCAATCTTGCCATCTCACTTTGCTCCATCCCTAACCAGAGACTCCTTAATTCACTCCTCCCCAGTGGCGGATACATGCATGGTTAGGGGTGTTCCGGGACACCCATAAAATTTGGAAACACGATTATTCAACCTACGATAGTAATTTGCGTATAAGAAAAAAAATATTTAAGTGGTAGTGGGACACCTTTAAAATTTGGAAAAATGATTATCTAATCTCCCGTAGTAGTTTGAGTATTGGTATAAATAATATTCAAGTAGTAGTTTATGTGATTTAAATTTGGGACACTGCCACTATTAGTTAATATATTTTCAATTACGCTACAACTCATTTGTTATTGTGTTTTAGATCCAAATATAATAGTAAAATATTATTCTTATCTCAAATTATTTTCAAAACCTAACGATTAAACTCAATTACGGGATATCCTAGTCTAGTAAGATATGTCGAGAGATATTTGTTGAGCAGTATAAACACCGAATGCATTTTATCATTTGATGAAACACGTCTGAACTTTTAATGAAACTTTATTAGTTAGATATTTTCATATTTAATAACTATTTAATTTAATTCTAATATTTAATATAATTTTTTATAGAGGACACCCCTACGTAGAATTCCTGGATCCGCCACTGCTCCTCCCCCTGCTTCCTTTTAATCCACTTCTTCCAATTAACTTCCCTTCTCCTCCTACCCATTTGAATCACCATTCTCCCATCAAGTGTCATATATGTAACTTCACTCTCCTCCCGCCGCTCCCCAATTAATCCCTAATCCACCTTCACTGTTGCGCTCCCCTATCTCCGTCCTCAGCCGACAGCAAGCACAAACAGGGAGCAATCTTCCTCCCCCGAATCTCCTCCAGCTGAACGGATGAAGTTTTGCTCTCTTGAATGAATCGCCCCCGAAAATCCCTAGATATATATATACTTTTTTTTTTTGCTCCTGATGAAACGTCTCCAGTTGGCCAGGAGAGGGCTTCGAGTCCCATTTTTCTTGAATCGGACTCGCCGACTAGCTGGCAAAAATCTGAAGCAGAGAGCGGGGAGTCTGGTGGGTTTTGTGGCGTCGTAGGGGATTCAAACGGGAAGAGTTCGCCGGCTGGGATGGGTCGCCCGCCATTCAAGATCCCGAGGATTTTCTCATGGAAATATAGCAAGATCCGATGCCAGGGGAAGAAGATCCAGGTCTTGTGGAGTGGACACGAACAGGGAGAGTTGCTACTGGAAAAACGAGCCAGTGCAACTGGGAGTGGAGAAGGCGACCTTCACTCTTCAAATTTTTGTTTTTATTTTGTATTTCATTTTAATTTTAATTTTTGTGAAAATGACGTGACAGCCATAGTCATTAACGGTGAGAATCTTTGACTGTCAGTTTTAAAGATCAACACAAATGTCGAGCCAAATTTGTCCAATAATTTCAAAAGTAGGCCATAAATGTTTTAATTGAAAAATGAGACCAAAACTGTCACTTATGCTAAACTTCGGGCAAAATTAGGGTATTAACCCTTTATTTTATGGCTCTTTAGTGCTTTTTTTCATGGTCCATGAAACCGTACCGTATCGGTGGTTCAACAACAAAATTCCAGTATCGGAGGCTAAACCGGTAGGCGGTATTTAACGGTATGAACGGTTGAATTACAGTTAAACCACTATTTTGTCATAAAATACCCTACCGCTGACTTTTCCGGTACTGTTTCATGAACCATGCCTTTTTTAATTCTTTTGTAACATCCCGAAATTTGGGTTTAGGTTTGACCCCATTAAATGAATCCATAATTTGATGGTTGCATACAAAAAAATCAAATCAACCAAACCAAGTTCAAGGATCAAGGTATAACAATCAATTGGGCCAAGTTGTAACTCATGAAAAGTGAAGGAATGGGCTAGTGAAAATCAAATCAACCAAACCAAGTTCAAGGATCAAGGTATAACCAATCAATTGGGCCAAGCTGTAACTCGTGAAAAGTGAAGGAATGGGCTAGTGAAGTAGAACTCACAGGTTAGTACGGATTGGAAGACATATTATATATATATATATATATATATATATATATATTATATATATATATATGGATACGACTCGTATGGTCCAGGCGCATAGCATGCTCCAGGTTCTCCGTACCGTTGATCTAATCTAACGACTGGTATTAATAGTATTAAATTTATTTATTTAATACGAATTATGATTACAAACTTCACCCTATAAATAATTATACATGCTATGAAGCGCCAACAATGTATATCATGCATTATGTTTTTATGTTCACTCGTATGATACCTTATTTCGTACACCTCTATTATTCAAGAGCCCAGATTTATATAATTGATCAAACTTGTCAACGTGAAAGCAGTGAATCGTTTGAGACTTCGATTCTGAAAGATTCAGATAAACCCGCGACCATCTTCCGGCTCAATGTTCCGGCATCGAGTTTTGAATTATGAGGGTTGGATCACGCGGAGGAGTTGGGGCGGCTGACCGTTATCAATGTCTGGGCCGGAGAGGGCTACTGGTAAATTTTGATGCAGCGACTGCGGCAACTGAGCTCCTCTGAGAGGCAGTTCAGTTGGTGAGGATTTACGAGCCTAGGGTGGATTTCATCGGGGGCTACGGTGGGGTTAAGAAGCTTGCCGGGAGGTGGAATTCGCTGCTGTTGCAGCGCTCGAGCTACGGCAGATAGGAAATCCTAAACGTCAGGATTACGAGGCTAGGATGGAATTCGATCCGGGGCGGCGACGGGGTTCAATGTGTTTGAATGGAGAGGGAAGATGATTGTTCCGCCAATTATTTAGACGCCATGAAACTTTGTCCCCCCCTGCTAATTTCATGCAGTGGATTATTGATGAATTCGATTGGCGGTGGAGCCAGTGCAGAGTCCATAGCCCCCATGGGAATTTCATGGCCATGAATTGTTGAAAATGAATTCAATCGGTGACGAAGACAGTGCAGATGCATTGGCCCCTTTGAGAATTTCATGGGCGGTCAAGTGTTGAGAAGATGAATTTGATCGGCGACGGAGGCGGTGCAGAGCCTGTGGCCCCTAGGATATTTGGAAAAATGGATAAGAAAACGTATTTTTTACAAATGATCAAACATGAAATTGGTCTACCGTGGTGGTGTAATCTCCAACTTATCATTGGTGTATACCCTTTTGATGGATGGTTTCGCATTCTTTCGAAGTTGCAGGAGCTCTTGGTTTGAGTAGCCTCACTTGTGTCTTAGTCAATTTGGAGAAGGATCTTTCTTTGATGATTTTAGTTGAGGTAGAGATGAAACAAAGTTGTAGAAATCATTATCAACAATATAAAGTTTGGGCGATTAAAAGAAATAAAGTACTTTAGTTTAAAACGTAAAAAAGTGTCGGGGGACTATAATGCATGTATATAATTTTAATGGGTGAAGTTTGTAATTATGATTGTTAATTAATAATTAATTTTTTATTTTAATTAATAATGTACGTTAGATTAGATCAACGGTGTAGAAAATCTGGAGCATAGTATGTGTCAGGAGCATACGAGTGTGACCCATATATATATATATATATATATATATGACAAAGACTAGCGTACACCTGGCGTACGTTATAGGCCTGTGTTCACACTTAAAAATTTATTTTTAATTAAATTAACTATTAATGATAATTAAATTTACAATTATAGCCAATAATTATTGGTTGTGTACGTTTCAGTACCCAAACAATTTTTACCACTAGTTATGCTTTAATCAATCATTTAAGTAATCATTATACAAATTACCGTACTCTTTTTCTTCAAATTGTACCTTTGACTTTGAGACATCCAGTTTTAAGCATGGTAAAGGAAACCGGATCGTACCGGTCGTTGAATCGGTAAAACCGGAAACCGGAGCCCTTCCGATACGGTATCGTATTTTATTGCAGAATATCATGTCGGCCGGTTTACACGGTTTAATCCAAAATACCGGCCGGTTTTGGTCTAACCGGGGGCAGGGTAATGGAAAGAAAACGTCGTCGTATTAGCAAAAAAAAAAAAAAGGGAGAGCATGAAACTCCGACCGATCTAAAAGAATCTGAAGCGGAGAAGGCCAACACCAAATCAAATATCAGAGAGCTCTAACACCCAACCAAAGAAAGAAAAGGGCAAAGAAGACCCAGAAAATATTCTCGCGCAGGAGCACGAGAGAAGCCGATACAGAGATGCTGGAATCCTGTCTCTTCTCCTTGTTCGTCGTCTAACCTTCTTCTCTCTTCCTTCCTGGAAGTCGGAGGGGAGAAAACGGCACGCCCAAAAAACATCCCTC